GTAAACTGCTATTCAATAGACTCAACGTTTTAGAAGATTCTGGATGTGCTATTTGTTTCCTGCTAATACATTCAGGTTGCATATCGTAATTAGAAATACAACAATCATAGCGCACTGACGATTGGCTTTGTCACTCAACAACATCCTGTATTCTCTAATAAATCGTTATTGCTGTATATCCACGGGTAAGTCATAGTTGTGTTGCAACTCTGATTAAAATTGCACGTTAACGTATTCGTGCTTCTTTGCTGTATTAGCTTTTAGGACACGTCAAATTTGAGTGAAGATATTGGCTGTAACCACTTGCATACTCGAAAGTTGTGAGCCAGGCTAAAACACTATGTTTGACATCTTCAAGAAACGATAGCTTTTCCAGAGTGAACAATTCACAAAAACAACTTTTATTTCCCCTAAAATATAGTAGAGTAGTGAAAGCTATTTTTCATATCAAATAATCAATGTATCTGGGTTAAGAATAAAATATGTCGTGAACGTGCGATCGATGTAAGAAAATAACACGTGAGTGAAGGAAGTTCATGACATTTACATATGTTATAACACACATCTTATATTTCTATTGTATTTCGGTTAACAAAGCTCTGTGAAAGTTAAGCTCTATGTGAGGGAAAATCAAACGGGACGTTTTTCAAATTATAGAGATACAATCGAGCGCAGCAAAGTCCCTAGTAGATAGTTTTACATTTAGATGAATCGCATTTCTACATTGCAACTACAGGTGTAATATTCCTTTGTAATATCAGTTGTTGAGATCAGTGGCAATGCATATCAAAAGCGTACGGGACGACGACTTTCGGATGCACCGGTGAATACAACCCATAACGTTCGCCCACTCGTTTTGGCCATACTGCTACTTTTTTTTTTGAAAGACTCTCCGTTCTGCTTTGGGCAACCTAGGAAGGCTTTTATTCATCGATTAATTGGACTCCTATAGTTTATTCTACGTAACCCATCGAATATTCTTGGTGGATATTAGCTATTGTTCATAGGTTAAAAAAGCTAAACAATCATTATACATATTCCGCTTGATCACATTAAAGACGACACATGTTCAATAATTTCCGCGGTTTTTCATTCGCTCCGGAATAATTCTGCAACCTGCTAGAAAACCACGTCTCTTTAGGTACGTTTTAATTCACAAGGGCCGCTAAATATTTCTTGAGATCCGAGCCTAACTCGTTTCATATAAATTTCAAAAGTTTCATTCTAGATCCGCCCACCTCACGTGGTTCTCTTCTCTTTCTCTCCTTCTCCTTTCACCTTTATAGCATTGACAAATTTGGCTATTGTACGATCAAAAAATGTATGCAGACGCCCGCAGCAGACTTCTTAGCTGGATTTACATCCGTTTGCTAAAATTACTCCCTTTAAACACTCAGCTTGACTCAAAGATCGGAACACGACTAGATACGCTTATAGAAAATCCCTTAAGTGCGTCGTAGTAGCTTTAATGATTTCGCCATATTTTAACGCAGTTACCTCTCTAAACTACAGGTTTGAAAAAAATATCTTTCAAGGAGGGTAACGCTATAAATCCGAGTCAGAGATATGATGAATTTTATACCAAATGAAAGCCCGTGAAAAATGGGATTCAGTGATGCTAAACAATATTAGTTCGAAGGACTTCCATATATCAAACTATCGGAAAGAATGAAATTTTCTTCAAAAAATCACTTTATTTTACGTTTAATAATTCGTAGGGTATCGAAATGAAGAGTTTTTCGGGGAAAACGGAAGGAGAATCATGCTAATGATCCTAAGATGTGTCTATGATTCAGACAATTACATGATTCTCTTGCGTTCTGTTGTCATCTCCTCGTGTCATTGATAACTTCGAAGATTTTTTTTGTTTTCTATTTATCTGAAAGGTATAGTAGAGACAAGATTCAGTGATTTCTTACTGATATACCAGTTCGTTTTTTCTTCACTTTCTCTCGTAATAAATTCATCCCTTTGTTAAGCCAACATCGTTTCATCATCTGAAATGGCTGGCACTTATGATAATGAACAACAGAGAATGATTGATAGGATCAAATGCATTGCTTTCCGTGAAGTGAGGGATGCTGGTGCAACATTTATAAATAGACAATGGATTGCAGATAAAATTCATCGCACAACTCGATTCGTCTCTGACTGGTGGGAAAAATCATATGACCCATGCTTTGCTGATTATTCAAACGTTGGTGCTAAGCTTAAACTATCAGAAGCTGGTCTAGACATAATGCGTAAAGCAAGTGGTCAACAAAGAAAAAGTTGCTCTGTTGTAACAAAGGAGATTGCAGAAAAGCAAAAAGAATATATGACCCGAAGAACTGTTAATAATTATCGTCACAGAGAAGGATTAAAACCGTTTCATGTTATTGCAAAACCTTTAAAAACTGAAACTCACATATCAGATCGATTATGGCTATGCAACTGGTTGAAAGATTGGACTGAAGATTTCCTTTATCTAGCACCCTCTGATAAATTTTATATCTGAACTATTCGTAAGCCAAATTATCAGAATGATAGAATATGGGCGAGAAGTATTGATGACATTGAAGAAGACGAAAGGTATCGCGAAATGGTCAAGAATCAATCATCCATTGGAGTTTTTATAATGTTCACTTGCAAAAGATTACTCTGGGTTATCAAAGGCAAAGGTGAATCTTGGACTGGTCAGTACTTTCGCGATACTATTTTGACTCAAAATGTATTACCGCTCTTAAAAGATCAAGCCAATGTTATTGAACCTGATGAAGTTATATTTGTTCATGATAAAGCACCATGTATGCGAGCAAATAAAACTCAACATTTGCTTCAAGACAATGACGTTAACTTTTGGGGTAATGACATCTGGCCAGGTAATTCCCCTGATCTCAATGCAGCGGAACATATCGGATCAATAATCAAAGACGAAATCGAAAAGAAAATGTCGTTGGAAACTGGATACAATCGATTTCATGAAGGCACACTTCAGATGCATATCGCTAATGTTTTAACTGACATGGAAGAAGATACTGAATTATTTGAAAATCTTCTATGTTCGTATCCATCTCGAGTTTGTGCAGTAAACAACGCTAACGGTTGTCATACGGATTATTAATTGTATCGCTTAAAGAATAGAAAAATAAACCATTTCCCAATAGATTTAACTCGATCACTACTTGAGAAACTAGTTTTTCTGAATCTTACGTAGATGAAAAGTTGTAACTTCTCTGAATTTGTTATATGAAAGCCCTCCGAACTTGTACTGTTTAGCATCACTGAATCCCATTTTTCACGGGCTTTCATTTGGTATAAAATTCATCATATCTCTGACTCGGATTTATAGCGTTAACCCCCCTTGAAAGATATTTTTTCCAACCCTGTAGAAAACAGTTTACGAGATATATTTTGATAATGATAAAACGAATTTGCTTATCAGTTTATTGATATACTTTTCGACTAGAGTAAATATTTAGATTTCGCTTTCCATTTATTTACTGGATAAATACGTTTTATATAGACGGATGTTGTGATTGAACATGCGCAATTTTTTACATCCTGCAGTAAATCAAAATAGTTTCGGAAAGTATAGTTTTATTCGACTATATTTACAGTGGAACCTCACTAACTGAACACCCTTCCTTAATGATCACTCGGTTAATCTGAACGCCCGCGAGAACGACGGAGTGAATTTTGTTTCTTTCACACCCCTCCTGTATGATCACCTCGTCGTTCTGAAAGTGAACACATTTTTCTTATTCCTACTGTATGACTCAACCTGTTTAATATGAACAGATGCAGAGGGCGCTGATGAAGTGACATATCTGATTGGTATTAATAACGTGTTTGCCTTTCTGACAATTGATACTTTTCTTCATTCTTGAGAGAGAGAGAAACCAAAGCAAAGAGAAAAATCTAAGTTAATTAATGTGTATCTGCAGTTAGACACATCGAAACAAAGATCTATTCGTGGCTTTTTCAAAGCAGTTTGAATCTGATGTAAAAATGAGTTTTTCATCTAGTCACGCGAAAGATGTTGCAGTAGTATATTTCTTTGCAAAAACTACTGTCTATTTCAATAGAATCAATTCAGTCTATACAAGGTTTGATCTTTTCACTTTCTCTCACTTCGTTGCAGACACCCCTTGTATATGATCACCTCGTTATACTGAACGATTTTGGTCAGTCCCGTTGGTGTTCAGATTAGACAGGTTTTGCTGTAGTTATAAAGAAGAGAAAAAGAATAAATACATAAGATATCTTAGCGCTCGATTCAACTATTTTTCGGATTTATCTCTTCAGCGATGCGTTCCAACTTTGGTTTCACTGGTTTCAAATAGAACTCGACGAGATCGATCTTGGTTTCACCTGGTCACACGTACAGGCGAATATTTTTGGAAAATACGGGAACCGTATTCGAAGGTATTTACGTTTTTTTTCGTATACTTTTACGTCGAACAAAAACCGTTTCCGTTCTTGTAAAATATATCAGTTGCATATAAGAAGAATTCAGTCTACCAGCACGGTCATAACTACACAGAACATATCCCCTGACATTACTTTAAACATCGACCTATGCAACATCATGCACCTCAATAGGTACCAAACGACCTACATAATTAGCTGAAAATTCTGATTCGCTTCGAATATATTTATTCATCTCACATCTACATCGCCCTTACTGATCGAAATGATAATCTATTTAATGGACTTCGCCACAGAGGCAAAATCTAAAGGTAATGGAAGTTATTTTCCTCGACGCGTGCTTGCGTATGTGTTCATGGCTCACTGACTGCTGGAACAATGGTGTGAAAGTAAAAAGGATTATTTCCTATGGAATTTTTCGAATGTGATGATATAAAAGTGTGTAACTCGAATTGATCGTCGACTTTTACGAAACTCGAGGGTGACTGATCTTCTGTGCATAAGATATATCTTTTACGAGCATATTTTTTCCAATAACGAATTCACTTCTTAAATATAGTGTCTTAACAGTTCATACTGTACTGTTTTGTTTTTTATCAGTATTGGATTTGAATAAAACGAAAATAAATATGACTTGAGTACTTTACGAATACATTAATTAAACATATAATAATATATCAGTGTTTGAAAAGTTTGTTACATGATCTTTTTTTATGTGAAATTTTTTTTGAAAATAATCCTTGACAGCCGCATTATAGTTGCGTTGCAATCTGATTACAATGGAAAAAATGAACATTAGTTTGAAATATTTTAGAAAAGGAATAACAGATGTTTTTTAATTTCTGTTTGACATTTCCGAAATAACTAGTGAATGGATTATAAAGCACAATATTGATATTCCTTTAAAGATAGCCTAGTTTTTTCTAACATAAAAAGATAAAATAGGCATGATAAATAATGTTTCTCTTATATGAGTTTTTTTTCTAAAGTAACAGATCTGCGCACAAGCTTTTTCATTTCCGTGTTTCATATATGATGACATCAGGTTGGTAAGAAATCTTTTGCGTTTTTTTTCCAAAAATTTGTTTTTATTTTTCGCGTCGAAAATACAAGCAGCTTTTAATAATTCATACTTCATTACTATCGATGAGTTGTTGCCAACCATCTGATAGAGAGCGGATCTCTCCTTCGAAAAAAGTTGCCTAAGTCAGTTTTGAGGTCGTTCTCAGCCTGATAATTAGGAAAAGTGTGGATGAAGACACACGTAGAATTGATTATTTAATGAAATCTTTGCGATAGTCGAACTGCTAATTCTTGTGCTTGGTTGGCTACCTCGATTTCATTGGATTTTCGTATTTTCTTGATGGTAGAAGCAATCAATTTTAGAGTCTTTTGGATTGTTGAAGTTTGTGCAGTACATGAAATTTGAGCAGTTTTTCATGACACATTTACACCTTTGAATATGCATTATAACACAAATAACTTTAATAATATGTGAAAATTGATCTATTTTTTCGTCTGTTGTTCAGTGTTCTGTTATGAATCACTATCATATTATTACAATATGCCAATTGGAATTGTTGTGGAAGTATTTATTTCTTATAACGATTATGTAATACATTGGATATGAGAAAGATGACTAATAAGTATTAGTAACCTCACCCAGTTGATATCTTGAAGTATGCCAAAGTAATAAGTATTTATAGAAATCTTTTGAATTATACTCAGATGCTGGTAAATGAAAATTTATTTTCAAAAGTTTGATTAGAATTTGTAGACGTTGCTATATAGGTATCTTGACGAAAATAGAAAGTAATTCTGAATATATACAAAGCAATACTTTCATAAAAACACCGTAGAAACAAAGTGTAGTGACAACCCATAACGCATATCAAGACATTTTTTGTTTTAAGAGACACAAATTAAAATTAAAAAACGTTGTCTATACTTTTCATTCTTGTCCCTGTTGAATTAGATCCTCATGAGAAACGCAGGTAACGCACAGACGTTTTTTCAACTTTGAACAGTTGTACCTAGAGTACGGTAAGAGGAGGAGACCTGATATTTTCAACAAATATGTAACTAAACAAGTTATATAATATTTCAAAGTTTGAGCCANGCACAATATTGATATTCCTTTAAAGGTAGCCTAGTTTTTTCTAACATAAAAAGATAAAATAGGCATGATAAATAATGTTTCTCTTACATGAGTTTTTTTTCTAAAGTAACAGATCTGCGCACAAGCTTTTTCATTTCCGTGTTTCATATATGATGACATTAGGTTGGTAAGAAATCTTTCGCGTTTTTTCTCCAAAAATTTATTTTTATTTTTCACGTCGAAAATACAAGCAGCTTTTAATAATTCATACTTCATTACTATCGATGAGTTGTTGCCAACCATCTGACAGAGAGCGGATCTCTCCTTCGAAAAAAGTTGCCTAAGTCAGTTTTGAGGTCGTTCTCGGCTTAATAATTAGGAAAAGTGTGGATGAAGACACAAGTAGAATTGATTATTTAATGAAATCTTTGCGATAGTCGAACTGCTAATTCTTGTGCTTGATTGGCTACCTCGATTTCATTGGATTTTCGTATTTTCTTGATGGTAGAAGCAATCAATTTTAGAGTCTTTTGGATTGTTGAAGATTGTGCAGTACACGAAATTTGAGCAGTTTTTCATGACACATTTACACCTTTGAATATGCATTATAGTACAAATAACTTTAATAATATGTGAAAATTGATCTATTTTTTCGTCGGTTGTTCAGTGTTCTGTTATGAATCACTATCATATTATTACAATATGTCGATTGGAATTGTTGTGGAAGTATTTATTTCTTATAACGATTATGTAATACATTGGATATGAGAAAGATGACTAATAAGTAGTAGTAACCTCGCCCAGTTGATATCTTGAAGTATGCCAAAGTAATAAGTATTTATAGAAATCTTTTGAGTTATACTCAGATGCTAGTAAATGAAAATTTATTTTCAAAAGTTTGATTAGAATTTGTAGACGTTCCTATATAGGTATCTTGACGAAAATAGAAAGTAATTCTGAATATATACAAAGCAATACTTTCATAAAAACACCGTAGAAACAAAGTGTAGTGACAACCCATAACGCATATCAAGGCATTTTTTGTTTTAAGAGACACAAATTAAAATTAAAAAACGTTGTCTATACTTTTCATTCTTGTCCCTGTTGAATTAGATCCTCATGAGAAACGCAGGTAACGCACAGACGTTTTTTCAACTTTGAACAGTTGTACCTAGAGTACGGTAAGAGGAGGAGACCTGATATTTTCAACAAATATGTAACTAAACAAGTTATATAATATTTCAAAGTTTGAGCCATAACGGTTGAGCTGTTCCGATTTTATAAATGAAATATCGGTCGGTAACACAGACAAAAAAGGCCCTCGGTTTTAAGTGATTACGAAAGATACGATAGTTTCTACGAACTACTGCATGCTATTGAATTTTCATAAGAGAACATTTTGTAGCTGGAGATCAGGGCTATCCATTGCTAAAAAGAAAATATAAATTACTTGAAAAATGAGCAAGTTATTGAGAAAATTTGAAGTAACACACGGACATTTTGGTAACGCACAGACATGTATTTGCACGAAAGTTTGCTAATGCTGAAATATCACTTTAAAACATAAAAAAAATTATGTTTATTCATATTTGAAGTATTTAGGACTGAATTTTATATTTATGCTAACTCTTATACGTGCTCTTATTGGTACAAAACGATAGCAAATTTTCAGTTAAAAACGTTAAAAATTAGAACAAAACAGTCCATTTTGGTGCTGCATCGCCATAATTTCAGCATTCAATGACATCCGGGCAAATATCAATTACAGTATATAATTTTTGAGTATCTTTTACGAACTTCGGCTTTCCGAATATCAGAGTTATTGAAAATGTAAATATCAACGAGGTTTTCAATAGATCACATAAAGAACTTGCGTGTTGTTCTCTTGTGTTTTGTTCTGGGTAATGTAGCTGCTCATGAAAACAATGCAGATGTATGTCACATTGAAAATTGTACATGGAATAGATGATTCATAGCTGGCTTATGCGTTAATTAATATAAATTTTTCAAACCTTGTGTCTGTGCGTTACCGAATTACTTCGTACTGAAGTACTTGGGGCAAAGAACAATGTGTTCATTGGATAGTCCATCAAAAGTAGGCGGAGGGTCAGTGTGAGTTTTAAAAGAAAACTGATTTAGTAACACCGAAATATTTATTACACTTAATTTTCGGTAACGCACAGACATACATATGTTGCCCCTTTTCATAGACGTCTTTCTCATAGTAGAAACGCGGCGGGGAAATTTTTCATAAATGAGAAGAAAGCTCATCTTCTGCGCTTCAAAATCATCTAAGATACTTCACGATTATTTCTTTTCTTGTCTCACTGTATGCACTTTTCTCACAAGATGATAACTCATGAAATATTACTAATTGATCCGCTCGTTTGTTTCGTCCATATTTTCTCGTTAAATAAGCACTGACCAACAAAAAATAAGAGAGTTTCTTATTCAGAAAATTGCGCTCTGTCTTTTGGTAAGGTTCAATATTGTTGAATTTTAACTTCTACTTCAATCATATTGGTTGACCGTTAGCCGTTTTGGCTGTCCTATCTTCACGGAAAAACTTTTAGCTGTCTTTTCTATTGGACTACATATAATTAATCTAGTGTTTATTGAATGTTCAAACGGAGCTTTTTCGAAAATTCAATTGAAATGAAATTCAGAGAAGTTATCTTGTATTTACTTTTATGTTAACCCTTGACGACCCAATGGTACCTGACGGTAGCGCCAGAAAGCTATTTCACCCAGACTTCATGCAAGGTAGAACAAAATATCAATCTGTTGTCGTGACAATGAAAGACAATTATTGTGCAGTGTATTGATCTTCCATTGAAACTCTTTATTTATTGCCTGACGCATCAATATAATCATAACTATCATTTTTCTGAACAAAACTTAACTTCTGTGTGAAGGCTCCCTATTATGAAACTTTTCTGAATGGATTATCAATACGTCTCACTACTAACGATAGCCCTGCAATAATATACAATTCAAAAGAACGCGAATGTTACCTTTCAGTTACACCCGAGTGTAGGAGATCAAAAAAACTGGAAAAATCAGTTTGCTTTCGAAGCTTGAGGTTCAGTATTTTAGTATTAGTTTGAGTCCGGATCCTAAGAGGAAGTCCTATTTTGACAGTTACGAGCCAATCTTTTTGAGACTTCAAAATCAAGTTTGAACCAACTGCAATACACTACAGATTGCCTAAGTGGTAAGAAAAATTATTTTAAGTATAGGGAATGAAAGAGAAGGCATTTCTTTATAAAATAGTAGATTACTGGTTGGTTTTCTGCAAATTATCTCTCGATAACGATTATTTTACCAAGCGACGCGTTTCAATTTTTAGCAATTTTCTCGATTTGTATGGAAAATAGATTTAGAAAGTCAGCTTGATCACTTCTGAATGATTATTCTGAAACTCTTAGTTCTTATAACATTCTATAAAGACAAATCTCATCTTTAATTCTATGTAAAAAAAAACAATGATATAACGTACACTATCAGACAACTATTACTGCAGAAACCGCCATTTTCTTCGTTTAAGCTGGATTTTAAAGCCTCTAAAAGATTGGCTTACAGCTGTTCAACCAAAAGTATCATGGAAGTTTTGAGCTCATATGTTTTTTGGTAGCCGATCGTAAAGGGTTATAAGATTGATATCTTTTATCCTCAACTTTTCTCGCTTCTATAGAACAAGTTATCAGATTTCTGATGATAAGTGTTGAGTTAAACCGCAAGTTTCTATTCATCTATAACTAATATTTTTTGCATAACAGGTAATCTGAAGAAAAGAAACTGAAACAGACGTTTATCCATTATGTATATAACTAATGTTTTAGTAGATAGTATGAAAACTATTTTCATTCCGTGTTTACCATATTTAGGCTACTGATTTGAGAACCAACATCGTAATATAAATAATTATATAAGTGTTTGAAGACCAATTGAAAATGAAATGGATATATTGTGTATATTGTTACACTTACTTTTTTTCTGGTGTGATTTAATAAATACAAAAATTCTACTATATGAAACAAGCAATAATCATGCAACACACGTGTATCACTGTATATATTATGACGGTGGAGGTGAATTTTTCGTCAATAATATAGAATCAGTACAAGCAATTAAATACTGCATTAGACCTGCAGAGTCTATCTCAGTTCATCGAAATTATTCTCTAGGTTATCTGAATAATGGTCTATTGGTATCATTCGCCGTTTTGAAACAATACAATATAACTATACGACAATTATTACAGTGGAAGTCTGGTGTGAGTGCGATTGATCGATATCGTGCTTATCTTGAAAATCATCAGTTAGGGTAATTAAGTAAAAATTAACAGAAATATAATAAAAATAATGGCATCTTAATATCATAGAACTGATGAACAACAAGAAGATTTCATTTGTAACTGCACAACTATGGGGACTTTTGGTGTTTTATGTGAATATCAATTTTCAAAAAGCACTTTTGAAGACACGATAAAGTCTCAATACGCACAGAAACTAAGATATCCACTTGGTAGTCAATTGTTCGGTAGTACAACATGTTACAAAACATCGTTTCCATGTGATTATGGTAAAATGTGTCTTGATTGGCGAAATATTTGTGACGGTAAATTCAGAATGTTTCGAAGGTTTTGTTTACATCAAATCTCTATTGACAAGAAGAAAGTTCAGAATTACTATTAAATGTTATTGTGCCGAAGTTGAATATGAGAATATTAGAAAAATTCACTGTAAACACAAAGGGAATTTTACGTAATCGTGTCATAAGAATAGAAGGAAAATACTTCAATTTTATTTTTCAGTTCAAATCGATAACATTACATAATAGTTTTGAAGTTTGTTTGTGTTAACATGGATTCAATATTATCACCACCTATTTGAAAAGAGATTATTAGTGCAATGAAATTAAATCATAAAGATGAGTTGGTGATCTTCTTCAGGGTGAATAAAATGCTTTTAGGGAGCAACGCTATAACTTCAGATAGAGTAGACAATGATATTTATACCAAATAAAAGCTTGTCAAAAATAGGCTCTATTGATATTTTTAACAGTAAATGCTATAAAAAGCTTTCAGTGTCGAACTTGCGTCTGATTCAAAAAGTTGATATCTTTTCACAGTGAAAAATTAAAGTACGAATGATTGCAATTAAGAATGCGCATTGTTTTTCGTCCTTATATCTGTATGATATGATAAAGTTCGACAAGCTTTTATTTGAAACTATGCCGTTGCCCTCTAGAAAAAGGTTTTTACCTATCCTGTATATATATTTACATCCAAGTATATTCTAAAAGATCCATTATAGCCATATTTCATTTTGAGATCAAATAGATCACAGTATGAGGGAAATATATGAAAAATTATTGAGAGAAGACTTTTGGCACATCTACATTGATGTAAAATGTTGAGTTTATTGTCTTATTAATATAATATAGGAAGTCAACATTGTGTGGATGGTACAGACGAGCACTATTGTGAACATTTGTTATTCAATGAATGTGATCCAGAGACAGAATATCGTTGTAGAAATGGCATGTGTATCGATGAAGAATATTTTCTCGATGGAGATATTGATTGTCAAGATCAGTCAGATGAACAACGTCATTTAATTTATGCCGTTAGAACCTTATGTTTCGCGCAATTCAAATTAGACTGTGACGAAAGAATATTAGAAAGTAAACAGCTTATTTCGTGTGGTGATGGATCACATATATCGCTCAAACAACTGTACCGACTTCAATCAAAGTCTACTATCGGTGACACCTGTACTTCCTTTCGTGATAGACAGTGGAGGTGTGAATTGAATGATCGACAGGTCATGTGGACAAATCCAGAGAATGGACATTGTTTAGACTATGTCGATAATATAACAAATGTGGGAAAAGAAAAAGATAGTTGTATATTCATACATAAATGTGCATTAACAAGACAACGTCAACATTATTTGTACCCGTGTACTGGTAATGATTGTCGTACTTATTTTCATCATTACTGTGCATCAAATAATATTTCACTACTTGCTTATCCATCTGGACGTCTATTCACTCTATTTGCCGAGACTTACTACGAAAGTTATGTGCATGATTTTGATCGTAATCAATGGCCAGATGTTTTTATTTTCACTCGTAGTATTCGATGTAATGACGAGATGCGAGCAATACCAAATATAACAAGTCAAAAAGATTGGATGTATAGTGAATTTACGATATTGCAAGCTGTAAAAACATATAGTAGTCATCCATTGGAATTTTTTTTGTGTGAGAAATATCAGTCTATGAATCCCCATTTAACGAGCTTTGGAAATTGTTGGAATGACTCATATCCAGATCAAGCGAGATATTGTTATGCTTCATTGCCATACAAATGTATTTCAAAATATCATATTAATGATGGCTTTCCTGATTGTGCACGTTGTAAGAAATTGTTCATAATTCTCACTAATTTTTATAAACAAAACAATTACATTTCCATTTGAGCGATTTAATTCACTACGAAAATTCGAAGTTTTCATTATCAAAACATTCTTATAGGTGGATAAATTACGAATAGAGTTGATATATATATGCAGTTCTCAAAAAGGGAAGCTAATATCATGGGAATTAGCTATTATTTTTTTGCTATTTAAGTTATATATATATATATATATATATAGTCACATATGTCTTCTAATCTAAAATATTTGCTCATAGAAATCTTGTTTAATACGACACATAGTGAAGATATGAACATAGTCGAATCACTTTTCTTTTCATATTACTTCATAGAAATGAATTATTTTTTTCGATTCGTAATGTAGTTAAATGTGTTTCTCATTAAACAAGATTTCCATAGATAGATAGATAGATAGATAGATAGTATAGACTGGAAAACATAAGCGGCTCTGTATACGACTCAAGTGGCGAAAAAGTAATAATTAACTCACCTAGCGTTAGCTTCAGTTGAGAGTGGTCATGTGAGGATATTTTCTTGTTAGTAAAAATTTATCTCATGACCAATTATTTTTGAAATTTTTAATATTATTTTTAGCGGAGGATGAGAAAACGGGTAATTGGTTTGAAAATTGTTCATCTATTCGGACACATCGTTTTCAATGTTCACAAGATGACCAAACGTGTTTAACAGTTGTGTCAGTTGGAAACAATCGTGCTGATTGTAGAAAAAACAATGACGATGAATACTCTGTAAAGCATAATGTTGAACTCAATCGTCTCAAGTGTGCTAGTAGAAATTCTGATGATTGTATATTTCTGCGTCAGTATATTGCCGAATCACCTATTCTAAATACAGATACTAGGGAAGAAATCGATAATTCAATAAAATTCTGGGATTATTGTAACTCTTATTGGGAACAAAATTTTGGTGAAGATGAACTGGATTGTCATCAGTGGAAATGTCCAATACATTATTCTGTACAACAATTTTATCAATGTCAAACAGGTCAATGTATTTCCTCGAAATTGTTATGTAATGGTGAATGGGATTGTTCAGATGGTTCTGATGAAGAAGGCATTCAAATATTAACAGAATATACTATTGGTGTCCATAATTTGAAATTATTTCATTTATTACAGACAAATTTATCGGAGCAGAAACAACGTTGTTCAAAACAGAATTCAGAACGTTCTTTCATACAATTGTGTAATCTCAAAACTGAATATCCTTGCTTATTGGCCAATGTAGATGATGCATTGAACTTTCAATTAAATCGGCCATGTATTAATTTAACACAATTGGGTGATGGTCGTATTGATTGTTACGGAGGATTAGATGAAAGAAATATATTAAGTTGTTCAATTTATCAACAATTAGGCTTTGGATTTAAGTGTGACATTAATGATAGGTGTATTGCAAGGAGACAACAATGTACTACTAAAAATCGCTGTTCTAACGGTAATGACCGTTTCCTATGTATTTATTTGTATAACAACTCATATGTAAGTTGTGATGGTCAACATTCAACGGACACTGTAACAGATGTTTATTGTCTTAATGGAACATGCGTGCCAAACTCACGCTGTAATGATTTAGTAGAATGTCCATATGGTGAAGATGAATACTATTGTCCAACTGGTACTTCTGCTAGATCTTCATCTTATCGTGCAGGCTTCATAAAATCTGTTTTTTCTCCTATTAAAATACGATTACCAAATTATCCTCCGTATTTTTTCCAAGTAAATAAATCCAATGAGAACAATGAAAAGAATGAAACATTAAAATTGCAGACATCAATAATTGGTAAGCTCACCTTGCAAATACCACATCTATTTTATTGAATTACTTGCTTTAGTTATTCAAATTCAGAACCCATCTACAAAGTCATCAAGACAAGACATGGCGACTCAGCACTCTGCAGAAGGATGGATATGTAATCGTGGAGTAGCGGCAATGCAAAAATCGTTTGGAAAAAATAAGACAATTGTGAAATGTTTTTGTCCGCCTAGTTATTATGGAGATCGGTGTGAGTTTATGAGTGATCGAATAACAGTGTTCATTCGTTTTGAAGATCAAACGAATAGTTTGTTAAAAGGTATTATTAAAATTTTAGCTCTTCTCATTGTTACCGTTGATAATACAACAACAGTTGTCGATCATCACGAAGTTCATTTCACATCAATAGTTGCTAATTTCGGAGAGAAACAAAAATTCTATTTCGTTTATCCTCGACCTCATCAATTACGATCAAATACACATCATTATACTATTCGTTTCGAAGCATATCAATTGAATGAAAATGACAGTATTGAGTTTCTAGCTGTTTGGATCTATCTACAGTGAAACCTCCCTTAATGAACACCTCTCTATAATGAACACCTCTCGTTTGAACACGTTCATCGGTCCTCCCGAGTGATTTTTGCTGTGATTGCACCTCTACATAATGAACACCTCCCAACTCTGAACAATGAACGCTTTTTTTGGCCCCTTTCACAAAGCAAACCTCTAAAAAATGAACAAATTTGCAGTAAAATACAGTTTTTTTAGGGGAAAAACAAGTTGAAAATATTTTAAAACTGTATTGTCGAGTCTTTTGACGACTTTTTTTTATATATAGAAGGCGGCCTTGAACAGAAAACAAAATAGGCGATGAGAATATTTCGCACATTTTAAATAATTTCTTGACGATCCTAATTAGGGTAGGCAGTAAATCGACTGTAGAAACAAGGTTGAGGATGGGAGAGCAGACTGACACTCCTGAAGGCGTCAACGAGATATTTACAGTAGCTTAATAACCTAATCTTTCTATTAATAATGATCAATGACAATACTATGATTTTATCTCTTGTCTACTTTTAAAACTCGTTCATGTTCATCGAACTGAACAAGGCTAACGAGACGATGCCAAACAATTAGTTTCTCAACAATTAACTGGATTTAGTGATCAAGAAGCACTACCTAACTGACTTCGCGTTTACTAGATGAAATGTAATGTAAACAACTCATAGATACCATTCAGTCGTGTTCACTGTGAATTCTACATTTGTATCCTGCCAATCGACTCAAAACCTCTATATAATGAACACCTCCCATAATGAACGCTTTTCATATAGTCCCGTAGGTGTTCATCTTACGGAGGTTTCACTGTANATGCAAACAACTCATAGATACCATTCAGTCGTGTTCACTGTGAATTCTACATTTGTATCCTGCCAATCGACTCAAAACCTCTATATAATGAACACCTCCCATAATGAACGCTTTTCATATAGTCCCGTAGGTGTTCATCTTACGGAGGTTTCACTGTACTCAACAATTACATGTCGAATCGAATCATACTTGTTTTTCAAAAATTAATCCTTGTTTGAATGAAGGTATCTGTCATCCATTTATGAATAAGTTAAACGATATTCAGTCATATTGGTGTCAGTGTAAAAATAATTCGTATGGTTCTCATTGTCAATTTACAGATCATTCTTGTTTTATTAGTTCAACAAAACTGTGAGTATATACCAGTTCATTTGCTCCTTTTTCTATGAAACATTAATTTATTGTAGCAATTATTGTTCTTCTAAATCGTTATGTCGTCCTCAATATGATCATTATGGACAAAAGCCATTGTGTATATGCTCAATGAACTCATATGGTCCACGTTGCTTTATTGAACGACAATGTCAAATGAAAACCGGTGCAAATCCATGTCAAAATGGTGGAATATGTGTAACTAAATATGAACATTATAATTTAATTGACAGTTACAAGTGTAAGTGTCCAAAGTATTATTTCGGCCCAATATGTCAATATCGATCAGGTTCAATAGAAATTCATTATGTTTCGGAAAATCATTCAGTTACTTTGTCTGGTGCCACAATTAAGGCGACAGTGATACAGTTATTCAGTATTACTAATCGTGAAGAATTGGACTTAGAAAAACAAATCCTCTACAAAGATAGTTTACCTTCACATGTGATAATTACTTCTGGTAATAACATTCATCCACTTTTTGGATTAGTTAAACTGTATACAAATCAATCTAGAATTCAATATCACCTGCTATATGCAAATTCAGCTACAAAATCAACATTAAATCTAACTTTGAAGTTGAACAAAGAGAATTATTGTCCACATACAAATGATATTTTTAATTTACTTAATGACACCTATCAAAGTATGTTCTTTTCATAAATTACAGAAAATTATCGATACTAAAACTAACCCCTAGTATCGTTATAAAAAATAGATGAGAATATTCTTCACTATACCAGATAGAAATTATGATAATACTTTGCACAATTTGTTTGTTTTTCTTTCCCTCTTCGACAGTGATCATTTTATTACATTCTCTAACTATTTGTCTTTTATTGAATAGCTCGAAATATTGTCGCCAAATATCATACTTTATGTGAAAATATTACATCTAAAAATTCATCATTATTATGTTTTATTGATGATAATTATTTCTGTTTGTGTGATGAAAATGCTATGGCTCAATGTTTTCCTTATAACGAAAAATTCGATCAATGTAAAGAATGTTTAGTGCAAGGACGATGTATCAAAGGTAATATTGATTCACCAAATGACTATTTATGCCTGTGTCCTCGATGTCATTTTGGTTCAAAATGTCAACACAATACAGCGATGTTCAGTTTCACGTTGGACTCTCTTATTAGTCCTGATTTCCTATCAATATCATCTGTCAAAAAAAAAGTATCTTTAAGTATGTATATCTTTGTACCAGCACTACTCTGCGCCACTGGTGCTATTTCTAATCTCTTTGCATACGTCACTTTTCGACAGCCAAACACACGACAGCATGGAGTTGGTTATTATTTTTTTACGGCTACGATATTCTCACAATTATCATTGTTTTGTCTTTTTGGCAGAGTTTTCCACATTATCATCAATACACAAGGATTCTCAATTCAACCAATAGTCAACATTGTTTTATGCAAAACTTTATCTTTTCTTTTATCGATAAGTGGTCGGATTTATTATTGGCTAATTGTTTTTGTTACTATTGAACGTGTTTATGTAGTAATTTACCCAACAGAATTTTGGTTAAAACAACCCAGAGTTGCGAAAAAAATCATTGTTTTTATAATCATTTGTACATGTGCTTCACATGCCCATGAATTAATTAAATATACGATTGTCAATGATCCACATTATGCAACAGAAGGTAATTCATTACATTTTATTAGCAAAGTCTTTGTTATATATAACATAGGAAAATGGTGTGTAATGGAATTGAATCATTCTTTTCGAATTTACAATCAAATAAATACAATGATTCATTATTTAAGTTCATTTCTGATGAATACTATTTGTACAGCCATAATTCTAATTGTCGTTACTCGTGTTCGTGCAAATGCTGATAGAAAGAAATCTCGTTGGCAAATATTTCAGCAGGAATTGAAGAAAAAGAAGGAAATGCTGATGCTACCAGTAACAATTCTTATTAGTGCTTTGCCTCATCTCATTATTTCTTTCACATTGGCTTGTACTGATCTTGATACAAAATGGCAACGTTATATGCTTATCATATCGTATTTTGCTGCTTACATACCACCATCTTTAAGCTTTCATCTATGTGTTCATCCATCGAAACTCTTTCTACACGAATTTCATACGACGAAGATGTGGAAGATATTGAAACGAAAATGAAGTACAACAGATAGACAATATTTTCACCTTATGCTAAGTTTGTGTTCACCAATTTTTTTGCTTTCTGTTTGCTAAAATCAAAATATAAATTGTAATGTTATTTTATTCACTAGAAAGTGGGTGAGGATGTGTGTTTGCCAAGTTCTATCTACATGGGTGAGGGTGAGTAGAGCTGCCATGGCTAGTTTCATCTTTTGAGGGTGTGAGTGAGTCAAAGATTACCATTATCGCGATTTCGTCCTTGCTAGAGGACTCGTCAGACGGCTTTAGACTGCATAAGTTATCCAAATGATCCGAAGATCATAGATAAACCTATATAATCTGCGTAGTTTGATAGATTGCCGACATGAAGCCTGTTTGGTGCACCATTCAGGTGGTTGCGAGTGGTACAATATATAATATGTTGGCGCTTTTTATATATTGAATTCGAGCGCTAGGAAACAGTGAGGGGAATGATTAGTAACATCGTATGATGACGACATCTGATGCAATTTTATAGATGTTGTGCTCAGTTGTTTGGTTGAGGACGGCGTTGTCATGTGTTTTGTTAGTATCATATTGCTTATCGGAGGGTTGGGTTTCTTGAGCGTGCTCTGGCTCAGCTGTTTGAAACTTGAAAGCGGATTTGAGGTTCTTAGATGCATGTTCAAAAATTCAAGGGTTGTATTTTTTTGAAATATTTAAGTACTGTAGCATTCGGCTCGTATCGTTACAGTTATTGTAAGCTCTCGTGGCCCGTCGCGCACCGTCACTTCATTCCGAAGCTCTCCGCACTCACACCCTCACCCTCAAGATCACACCCTGTTCAGACTGATCTGGAATGCTTGAAACGTTTGGATAATCGAGGAATTGAACAAATATTTGATTTGAAATTGCATGTTAGACATTTATGAATGTCAGAGGCGGTGGAATCTGTACTGATATCATCGATGGTGTTGTGGGAAAGTGAAAAGGTCGGTACTGTGACTGGAGATTGTTAGGAGAATGAATTTGCGATCAAAAGTTAGATGCAATAGGCTTTTTGTAGTGTATTCAAAAAGAATCTACATCTATAATGATCAGGCGAAATCATGGTATGTGTTTATTTGGAATAGTGGAAATATATACAAATGCCAGACAACCTGTTAGTCAGATTTATTGCTAACAACAAAATACATGACATAAAGATGAATCATTCTCAAGTTAAAGATCAGAATCAGAGTCACCATCAGTCTAAAGATTATGAAGAAGACACAGTTAGTCCAGAAAACGAGGAGGGTGTGAGTCAAGCTGCCATGACGCGTTTCGACCTTTTTTTAAGGATCTCATCAGATGGCTTAGTCTTAAATATGATTACGAAAGACTTAGTCTATTGCAGAGTGAATTGGGAAATTTTTATCCTACCGATTTGTGGAACAGCTCTGACCGATCATATATATGTCATAATAGCTAATAAATAATCATGTTCAGCTCTGAATGTCTCGGTTTGGATTTGATGGTGGTGAGACACGCAGTTTAGATGAATATTGTGTACATAGACTTTCTAATTTGGGGTTTTGTTTGATTTGTTGGTTGTGATATGTAGATAGCCTGTATTGCATTGAAGATTAAAGTGACTTATGTATATTGTATCGTTAGAATGGATGAAATCAGATACTATTATGGTTCTAAAAAGATGAGTGATATTTACTTCTGTATAATCTAAGAAATGAATGTTATAATGGAAAAGTGCTTCCGATTTATAGGATGAGTTGAATAAGGGAACTTTGGCCTCTACTGTGGGATTTATTGTGTGGGCAAGAATTTTATCTCCCGTTTTACGTGATAGAATGCTTCGAAATTGGTATTCTATGCAAAGACGTAGATTGTTTGTTTCCTTTAATAGCATTTGAATATGTGAAAAAATGAATGAAGAATGTCTTGAGGAGGCGTATGGGGCTTGTCCACGTAACGCGCTACTTCGGCCATTAAGTATTTTATTCAAAGTTGAAAGAGAGCACATATACCATGTTTTAAAGTATGTTCGAAAGTGTCAGAAGATGTACTTTGTTTTTGAAAAGAGTATGATTCTTGATCTTGCAAACACATATAAGAAGTCCTATTCATCACATCATTAATAGCACATTTTTGTCTTACACTTTGAAATTCATCAAACACATAGAGAATGAGTTGTACAGGTAAGTTAGTCAATGTTTTTTAACATACGAAGTGAGACCTTTGTCATCGCAAAAGAACCAACTTCTGGTCTTTTCTTGAAGTCAAGATATCATTGAAACAATATTTGATCAACTTCACTGTCACGGCGTTACGAAAAGATCGAATTTTAAAATTTTCAGCAGCCGATTAGAAAATACTGGTAAACAAACTAGTGGGCTATTGTTAACTTTTCACGGTGATTCCAATGAACTACTTTTCTTCTCGAAAATAACCCTTCAAAAAAAAGATAAACGTAACGCTGTGACAAAAACTTAATTTTTTAAGCCATGGCTGGAATGATTTTCGGACGTTTTTTTCAATATTACCCGCATGGAATATACACGAAACAAGATTTTAGCTGGTTTTCAACCTTTAGTTTATGCATTCGATGACAGATAATCTTCAAACTCTTTCTTCGATTTTGTTATTTGACATATAAATCTTTTTTATTTGTTTACATTATGTTGGCCTATGTAGCTTCAACTTGAAGTACTATATAGGATAGTACTTTCTATACTTTATGTCGGCAACAGTCTCGTCCAGAAGGAAAATGAAACACGTTAAACGATTGATTTGAACGATATAGATGGGTGACAAACTTTGAAAATTAAACCACTAACTGTTTTTTCCTTTCCTCTCGCTATTATGATTGGTCTATAAGAGATATATACATAGAGAAAGAAAACAGAATTCAGTCAATTTCATCTTATACGAAACGGACTAATTAGAGAAACTTTAACTATTTTATTACACATTTTTATCTTAAAATAAAATTTATTCCAAACTAACATCAGTATTTTTCTTACTTTCTTAACTCTACTATGGCTATGACAAATGCTGAAAGAATGAAAAAATATCGAGAAAAATTAAAACAAAATAAAGTTAAACATGAGGAAGTCAAAGCAAAGTCTCGTCATCGATACCAATCAAAAAAAGCAAAATTAACTTGAGCTGGCTTGGCCGAATTTCGTAACAACAACAAAATTCGTCAACAAAAATGTCGTGAAAATAAAAAAAAGCATTGGGTCAATAATCCGTCCTCATCATCTTTTAAAAGTCGTCAATCATTTGGCAAATCAATGAAAAAAGTCAACTCATCTCTTCCAAAATGCGACCAGAAAAAGAAAATTATTGTTCAACATCTTGCTGAAAAATTTGGTTTACTTCCTAAATCCACACATCAACGAATAAGCCTTCAACTTACTGATCAATTGAAAAATGCCGTTCACAATTTTTATCTACGAGATGATGTTTCATATCAACTTCCAGGTAAGAAAGATTCAATTGTTATTAAAGAGAGTGATGGAAGCAAAGTTACTTATCAAAAACGCATTTTGTTCAACAGTTTACGTGAAAATTAGGAGTTATTCAAAGAGGAAAATGCTAACATTAGCCTGAGTCGTTCGTCTTTTGCTGCTTTGCGACCTTCTTTTGTTGTTTTGAAAGCTGCTTTGGCACATCGAAATTGTTTATGTTTGTATCACGAAAACATTTGTCTGCTTTTGAAATCTCTTGATAAATATGTTGATGGAAAATATTGTTCATCGTTGGACAATTTCGTTAATTGTTTGGTTTGTAGTAGCAATAATGAAGAATGTATGTTTAGTAGTTGTTCTCTTTGTGAAGGATTTTTTGACGAGAAGATTTTGGAAAATATTTCTCATGGAGGTGCTCAAATTACTTGGTCACAATGGGCGAATGAAAATGGTCGTGCCGAGAAAAGAGAGTTTTCAGGAAGTGTTGGTGAAGCAGCTTTGTTGTTGAAATCAAAAGTTGAACAGTTTTTGTATCATGTATATATAAAACGAGAACAGTCAAATTATTTCGAAAAGTTGAAGGCTGATGTAACTGATGAAAAGATTGTACTGCAAGTCGATTTTTCAGAAAATTTCAATATGAAAGAGCAAGATGAAGTTCAAAGCGCTCATTGGAATAGTAAATCGTTGAGTATATTCACGGCTTTTATCTGGTCTAAGAATGAAAATTTTTCATTTGCTTTACCATCATCGGATCTAACACATGATAAATTTGTTGTTGATGCTGCTTTAGCAATCATTTTGAATCACATTGCAACAAAACTTCCAAATATAAAAGAAATCAATTGTTTTTCTGATGGTGCTGCATCTCAATTTAAGCAACGTTTCCATTTTCGAAATCTAACACGAATTGCTAATAAATATAACATCAGTCTAAGT